GTCAACACTGGGTAGCTTCCTCTGTCCCTTTCCTTTTTTGGTTTTGGTTTTGGTTTTTGGTTTTTTGAGACAGGGTTTCTCCGTGTAGCTTTGGTGCCTGTCCTGGATCTTGCTCTGTAGACCAGGCTGGCCTCAAACTCACAGAGATCCTCCTGCCTCTGCCTCTCGAGTGCTGGGATTAAAGGCGTGCCCCACCACCACCCGGCTCCATCTTCTTTTTTTGTGACAGGTTTTATCACTAAATTAGGTTTCTGTTGCTATGATAAAGACCATGACCTGCTATGAGATGTCTCTCTGTAGGATGTGAATATGTCCCATTGCTTAATAAATAAACTGCTTTGGCCTATGGCAAGGCATCTTAGAAGCAGGCAGGAAATCCAAGCAGAGATACAGGAAAGAGAAAGGCAGAGTGAGAGACTCACACCACCCCAGGAGCAACAAGATGTCAGCAAACCAGTAACAGCATGGCCATGGGTAACGTGGCAAAACAGACCAACAGGAATAGGTTGAGTTAAGTTGTAAGAGCTAGCTAACCAATAGCCTGAGCCATAGCCAAACAGTTTGTAATTAATATTAAGCCTCTGTGTAATTATTTTATAAGAGGCTATGGACTACAGACAGGAGAGATTGGTTTGGACCACGGGCCGGGGAAGACTGGAGAAACTTCTGGCTATTTGTGTTTACTTGGGACGGAGTGGCTGCGGGACTGGGCTGGTCATCAGGGGAAGCCAAGGCTGGAACTCCGGGCAGGAACCTGGAGGCAGGCAGAGGTCATGGAGGAGTGCTGCTTACTGGCTTGCTCCCAATGGCGCCCTCATTTTTCTTTCTTATGTAACCCAGGACCACCTGCCCAAGGGTGACACAGCACAATTGGCAGGGCCTCTCCCATCGATCATTAATCAAAAAAACTCCCTCAATCTGGTCTACAGGCAATCCGGAGAAACTTCTGGCTATTTGTGTTTACTTGGGACGGAGTGGCTGTGGGACTGGGCTGGACACAGGAACACTTCCAGCTACAGTGACCATAGGAAACTTGTCGAGGAAAGGGTTTTGAGACATTTTCTCAATAGGGGTTCCCCTTCTCAGATCAATAGCTTGTATCAAGTTAAACACAAAACCAATCAGGACACTCACTTATGGTGATATTTTATTTGTGCTGAAATGTGACTTTATTTGTATGTTAATAAATAAAGGTGCCTGGGGGTCAGAGCTAATAACAAGCCATTTAGCAGAAGTCTGGCAGTGGTAGCACACGCCCTTAATCCGATCACATGGCAGGGAGAGTCTCTGAGTGTTCAAGGACATAGCCAGCTTGGTTACACACACCTTTAATCCAAGTACCAATCATAGAGACCTGGAGGTCTGTATAGACAGGCAATGACGAGGAAGTCATGTGGTTGGGTTTACAACCAATGAGAAGGCAGAACAGAAAGTCAATAAAAAGACAGGACACAGGAAGAAGGGCTCTTTCTGAGGGGAAGGACAACAGCCTGGGGTAAGAAGGCGGTCTTGGTCTGAGCTCTTGGCTGCTGCTCCATCTCTGGGCTTTTAACTCTGCATTTGGCTCTGTGTTTCTTATTTAATAAGACCGTTCAGAATTACATCTACACTCACTGAACCCAGTGTTCACTGACTCTAGGCTGGCTGGCCAACAGCCTTCTGGGCTACACGCTGCTTGGATAAAAACATAAACCCACGATGGCTCCCAGAGCTGGCGGTAAGCATACCGCCGCCATGTTGGGAAGCTGAGGTGGGCGGAGCCAGCAGCCACAGCACCAGCGCCGTTTCAGGCTTAGAAGGCTGCAGTTCAAAGCAATAGGCTCAAGCTAATATAAAAAAATAAGCCACGTAAAGATGGCTACCACACAAAGAATCTAGATTATGTTCTCTTTGATATTTGTAACTAAAAAAAAACATTTGATTACAAAAGCTGTTGAGTTATGCCAAAATGTATATTTTAAAGGTACCTTGACTTCAAAATTTGGATATAAGGATATGTTGCTTTGGAAAGGAGATTCTGCTTTTGTTCCCACAGAAAGCCAGAGGCTATGGATTTGTTCCAGATTAAGACACATCAGGTTTGACCAGCCAAGACCCCCTGAAAGGTCTCCGATGACACCATGGCCCAGATGATCCAACATCCAGAACCGTTTCAAAGCAACTGGCTCAGACGATACAACCTCATGGACTACTCCATAATCCTAAAATATTCTTTGTGTCCCCATAAGATACAGCGCCCCCCTCCAGCAGGAAGTAGTAAGAGAAGCTACGCCCAAATTCCCAAATATACCAAGTTGACTTTGGAGATGTGTAAAGGTTAAAACCTTCCTTTTTAAGAAAAGAAAAGGGGAAGTACTGTGGGATGGTCTTTATGTCAAATGTGTTGCTGATTGGTCAATAAATAAATCACTGATTGGCCCGTGGCCAGGCAGGAAGTATAGGCGGGACAAGGAGGAGAATAGAGCTGGGAAGTGGAAGGCTCGAAGAAGAGACACTGCCAGCCGCCATCAGGATAAGGAAGATGTAAAGTACCGGTAAGCCACAAGCCACGTGGCAAGGTATAGATTAATAGAAATGGATTAATTTAAGCTGTAAGAACAGTTAACAAGAAGCCTGCCACGGCCATACAGTTTGTAACCAATATAAGTCTCTGTGTTTACTTGATCGGGTTTGAGCGGCTTGGGACTGGCGGGTGAGAGATTTGTCCAGACTGTGGGCCAGGCAGGAAAACTCTAGCAACACAGCCTCTCTGTCATCATGATTGACCTGTGTCCTGTTGTCTCACGCCTCCCCCACCACCCCGTCACTACCCTATGCTGGTTGAGGTGACCGGCCTTTACACAGGCGCTGTGGGTCTGAACGTAGGTCCTCATGCATGCCTCATAACCACTTCACCCGTTAAGCCACCCCTCCACTCCCCTTTTCTGTGTGTTTTGAGATTTTCTCTCCATATCCCAGGCTGACCTCAGATTCCTGACCTTCCTGCTTCATCCCCACAAGGGTTAGCGTTACAGGCGTTTGTCATTACCCTGGCTCTATTGCATCTTCTGCTAGGTGATGACAGCAGAGACACTGACGAAAACAGTTGGAGTGACTTGACGGAAGAGCAAAGAATTAAAGGCCCAGGGCCTCTAATTAGAAAAATTTCTTGTAAGCCAGGCGGTGGTGGCCCACACCTTTAATCCCAACACTTGGGAGGCAGAGGCAGGGAGATCTCTGTGACTTCTGTTGTAGGTCGGAAGTGATGTCACTGGTAGATAGCAATTCGGGATGAAAGTCAGGAAACAGGACAAGATGTTTATGGAGACAGAAAGAACAGAGAGCCGTGACTGAAACAGGAAGGGTCCTCAAATGACTTAAACCAGTGAGAAACTTGATTCAATCAGTTCTTCAAATTTTGTGCCAGCCAGGGATCTACTTCACTGTGGGCGTCTCTTAGTGAACCTGAATGCAAGAGATAAGGATTCCCGCTCAAATTGGCTAAACATTAAGGACAATGTTTGGCTCACAAGTTTGAACGGTGGAGAAGGCTTTCGAGTTGACCTTCTTCCCCATGTCAATGCTTCTCCTTAGGCTGGTTTTGAAGAATGTGCTAAAGCTAGGCTGGCAAGATGGCTCAGGGCATAACAGCCTTGCCCCCTCAAGCCTGATGACCTGAGTTCAATCCCCAGGACCTATCTATGGTGGGAAGATAGAACTGATTCCCCAAAGTGGTCCTCTGACCTTCACATGCTCATTGTGGCACACAGTTGCCTGCCCTCAGGCAACACATCATTCACATACACACACATACACACACAGAGAGAGAATATATGTGTGTGTGTGTGTGTGTGTGTGTGTGTGTGTGTGTGTGTGTGTGTGTGTGTGTGTATTATTAAAAAGAATGCTTTCACTCACTCTTTTGACATCATGACTATGTTGGGGGGAAAAGAGGTCTTTTTTCCCCTCTAGATTTGACTTTCAGTGCCTATGTTCAGGGTCTCATTTAGGCCAGCCCTGAACCATTCCTTGGAACCAAAAGCAATGTTTGTGCTTATTTAAATCAGTCACTTGCAAGGCAAGGGATTTGACCAGGATCCATGGACAATGAAGGGACCCTCAGAACCAGAGTGTAACAAAGAGAAACTAACCACAAAGCCCAGTAGAGCGAGTCTAGAAGGCTGGTGGAAATGTGATTCCAGAGAGAAGAGATACAGAGTTGGAGGTCATTTGCATTGAAGTTAATTTGAAGACTTGGGAGAATTTGAGATTATTTAGAGGGATGGTGTTTTGTGAGAAGAACAAAGAAGACAGAGGAACAGAGGACCAGTTCTGGGTGATGGAAGACAGCAGAGGAAGAAGAGATGGGACCAAAGAGGCAGTATTTACGGAGCCAAAGCAGGACCAGCTACTTATCTCTGAAGGCACAGCTCGAATGTTTAAGAAGTGGATTTTTCAGTGCTGGGGAGATGATTGGCTCTATGAAGTACTTACCTTGCAAGTATGAGTAACTGATGTTCAGTCCTCAGGACCCATATTTTAACAATGCCAAGGTAGCTCAGCAAGCTGGCTCAGCAGATAAAAGTACTCACTATAAGCTTGAGGATCCCACAACAGGGGAGAACTGCTGTGGATGATTCTCTGACCTCTGCATGTGCACTGTGGCACACACAACACACACACACACTAATAATTAATTATCGACCACTAAATAATAATAAAAGCAAGTGTGGTCGTGTGTGCTTGTCATCCCAGGGCTAAGTGTGTGGAGACAGGCAGATCCCAGGAGCTCCTAGGCAGCCAGCCAAGCCTACTGAGACCCTGTCTCAATTTTTTTGTTTTGTTTTTTTTTTTGGTTTTGTTTTTCGAGACAGGGTTTCTCTGTGTAGCTTTGCACCTTTCCTGGAACTCGATTTGGAGACCAGGCTGGCCTCGAACTCACAGAGATCCGCCTGGCTCTGCCTCCCGAGTGCTGGGATTAAAGGCGTGCGCCACCACCGCCTGGCTCAATTTTTTTTTAAAGTAGGTAGCGCCAAGGCAAGGGTACTCTACATCATCCTCTGGCCTCCAATATGCATGTGCTCTGGAGCGCACCAGCATTCATACACATTTGTTTGTTTGTTTTTCTTAGTTCTCCGACTCAGTGTGGTTCTCCATAGGTAAATGCTCTCCCGTTTATTTCATTTTCTCCATCACATGTCCTTCAAAGTTTATCTCTTTCTTCTTTAATTTTTAAAACTGTATTTATTTTTATAATATGGTGTTTTTGTGAGTATGAGCATGACACAGCACATGTGATTAGAGAAGAGCGTTGGGGAGACAGTTCTTGCCTTAGACGTGGCTGAGGCATGCTTTCTCGTTTCTGCTGCTGAGATGTGTACCCCATGCTAGCTGGCCTGAGAGATTCTTGAGCGAGTCTCCTGTCTCCACCTCCCAACTCCCTAAAGGACTGCTAGGATTTCAAACGCATGCCACCACATCCGGCTCTTTACATAAATCCCAGGGAGCCACTGAGCCCTCCCTCCAGCACTTGGTTTTGTTTTGGGAGACAGGGTTTCCCTTAGTACCCTTATGTTGCCTTGCCTGGCCTAGAGCATGTAGATCAGACTGGCCCTGAACTCATAGAGATCTACCTGCTACCTCTGGAGGGCTGGGATTAAAACCAGGCAATAGGTTTGGCTAAGGTGGCATACACCTTTCATCCCAGCTCTTGGGAGACAGAAGCTGGGTTCAATTCCCAGCACCCACATGGTGACTGACACTGTCTCTAATTCCAGCTCCAGGGCATCCAGCACCTTCTTCTGGCCTTCGAAGGCATGCACAAAGTACAAGTCACTCATATGCACAAAATAATTTTTTTTTATTTACAAATTTTATTTTTTAGTCTCAAAAATACATATAGATGAAACCCTGCTCTGCAAATGCAGACAGGCCTTGCCCATCATGTGGTATTATTTCTATCGCAAAACACTGTCATATGAAGATCAGCACATAGCTCTGAAACACACCAATTAGGAGCACACATACAGTAAGTAATGACTTCCTTTCTATTTACAAAGGCCCCAGGTGGGAACTTCAAAAGTCATGACCTGCCTACACAGCCACGTCTACACAGGCATCGCAGAGTATCTGTTTTTAGCTTCGACAGTCAATAATAAGATCATGAGGTAAATTGTCACCCCCAAAAATGAAGTGCAAAATGACTATGACTCAAGAGCTGACCCGGGTCAAAGCTTTGGTACATGCTGGAGGTTGTTTTGGTGACAAGCAAAGCTTACTAAGATTCTCTGTTCTGCGGTTTGTCCCTTGAACAAAACTCCTGGTCCACAAAGCTCAACGACTATATAGGTCCCAAGAAAGTGTACAAAGAGAGCAAGCCACAGTCCCCGTTCCAAGGGCTTAAGTTTCCTGTGCAGCAGTTCGGAAGGCGCCCACCACAGCCACACACTTTGTCCAAAACTCCACATGCTGTCGTTGGTGAGATTGTGTCGGCAGCAGTAAGTTTACTGCCTTAATTTTAAATGCCCTTTTTTGTCCTGTCCCAGTTAAGTTGTTTGTGTGAAAAATGGGCAGTTGGGTTCCAGAGGGTGCTAGGGATCAGTTGCCCTGTGGTTTTTCCTGTTTGGAAAACAGTGTCCGGCTTGCCTACGGATACAGAGTAACCATTCCTTGACTCCTGCTGTTAGAGGGGTATATAAACCCATGTTGGTAGGAATAAAGAGGGCTGCTTCCCTGACGAACTGAAACTGGGTGTGTAGAGTGCTGTTTAACCTCGGCGTTCCTCGCCAGATTTCGTGCTCCAGCTGCGTGGGTCGTGGCAACTGGAGGTCACCACTGAGACCTGGAAAGAGGGGTAAGCGAAGGAGGCTCACCCTAAAAGGAGGGGTGGAGGATTGAAACATTGGTAAGTACCATGGGTAATTCTACTGCAAAAGCTCAGTTGGCCACTGAGGAACAGGAATTAAGTCAAGTAAGCAAGGAACAGGAATTAAGTAAGCAAGGAACAGGAATTAAGCCAGACCACACTCACATTTGTGGACACCATAGCTAAAGCAAGTCCTTGGTTTCTGACGGGAGGAGGTCTGAATATTCCAGATTGGGAAAGATGCTCTTCTGACTGATAAAGTGAAAGAGCAACTTTCAGAGTGCGAGCAAGCATTTGCTAACGCTCAGGAGGCAGAGATGAATGAATCTTTGAAAGGGGAAAAGGAAGAGGTTGAGGTCCCCTGTAAAGAGCGTATAAGGATATTTGTGAAAGATTTAATGGATGAGGAAGATGATCTTGCCTGTGTCTCAGATTTAGTAGAGGAGGAGGAGCAGCTAGAAAAAGAGACAGAGGAACTACAACAGGAATTGCGTCGTGCAAAGGTGAGTAATACTTCTCTGGCAGACTTTGTAGGTAGTTCCAACATGTCCCATGCTGTGGGTCTCCAAGTGCTCCTTTCCCTTTTTGTTGTTTGGAATGGTGATGTGGGAGGGGAGGGACTACTAAACTGTTCAGTTCTAAATTGTAGCTTGAATAATTGCTGGAGTGCAAATTGGTCCCATGCAGTGATTGAGAGAATACCTGCATTTGCAGTGATGCCTCTGGAGAGTCCTTCTGATCAGTTTCCGCTGCAACTGAAGAGGACAGGAAGAGACTTTGGCATTACTGCCGCAATTGTTGCAGCTGTGGCTGCATCTGCTCTTGCTGCTACAGCTGTTGGGCTTGCATTATCTCAGACTGTTCAACAGGCTGCCGTTATCAACACATTATCTGAGAGGGTGGCTGGTGCCTTGGACATTCAGCAAACATTAAATGGACAATTACACTTTGGAATTCTGATGCTTAATCAGTAAGCAGCACTGTTACAAGAACAAATAGATATGTTGTGGATACGCCAACACATGTTATCTGCTAATGGAATGTCAGAAGTTTGTATAACCCCTCATGCAGCTTTTAATGCATCAGCCAAGGTTGCAGAATTTAATGCTTGTTTGTGAGGGCCTTGGAATGGAACATTTTGAACTATACAATTCAGTTAGCACATGCTATTGTAAGGATTAATGAAACTAGAGTTGTTCCTGTAAATGAGCAGACCTGATGGTCATTAATGTCTAAAGCTGCTGGGTGGATTACTAGATGGGCAGGGTCTGTTTCCCTCTTATTAATCTGTGCAGGCAGATTGGGAATTGGGTTATTTCTGCTATGCCGATGGCGTTGCCAGTTCACTTGACACTGACAGGTAACCAAGCAAGCCCTTTTGGCCATGTCACCCTCTGAATCTGCACAAGTGTGGTTACAAATGTTGGACAGTTCGTACCCAGAGACGGGCAACTCCTGTGGTCCTCATGCAACCTAAGGCAGGGGGCATAAGGGCAGCCCCCTATGACAGGTAAGTTTGGGGATTGCAATAGGTGACCTAAGGCAGGAGCTATCTGGTCTTCCACAGGCTGTTCTAGCTGATGTGTTCCTTTTAAAAATAAAAAGGGAGGACATATCGGCAGCAGTAAGTTTGCTGCCTTAATTTTAAATGCCCTTTTTTGTCCTGTCCCAGTTAAGTTGTTTGTGTGAGAAATGTGCAGTTGGGTTCCGGAGGGTGCTGGGGATCAGTTCCCCTGTGGTTTTTCCTGTTTGGAAAACAGTGTCCGGCTTGCCTACGGATAAAGAGTATCCTTGACTCCTGCTGTTAGAGGGGTATATAAGCCCATGTTGGTAGGAATAAAGAGAGCTGCTTCCCTGACGAACTGAACTGGGTGTATAGAATGCTGTTTAACCTCAGCGTCCCTTGCCAGATTTCGTGCTCCAGCTGCGTGGGCCGCAGCAACATTGTGCTGAAAAATAGCGCCCACAGTCAGGCGGCTGCTGGGCTGAGTTCAACAAAACACCAAGTGAGAGTTCTCATAGTGCAACACAGCTGGGCAGCAACGGAGGAAAGGCTTAAGGGTCAACCCAAGGCCTCCACTCAGAACGGTTTCTAATAGTGTGGGGTGCTTCTCAGTTGCTAACCGTGAGACACCATCTCCTCCTCCTCCTCCTCCTCCTCATCTTCCTTCCTGTCTGCTTCAGAGGTGTCTGAAGACTCATGGAGCAAGACATATTCTCTACTGCTGAACCCAAATTTAAGGACATCCTTTTCCTTCAGTTCGTAGTATCTCTGCGGCTCAATACGCGCGTAGTTCAAGAAGGTTCCGTTGCTGGAGCCAAGGTCAATGATGTAGGGCTTCACGGCCAGACCAACTGTGCCGTCAGCACGCGTGTGCTCCACAAGCCGGTACTGGAAGACTGCATGCTGCTTTGAGCAGGAGGGATGGTCGATGGGAATGTCGGCGATGAGGCGATCTCGGCCCAGAAGGTAAGCACTCTGCCGGTGGATGTACATGACCGGAAGTAAGTCGTCATTTTTAAAGGGGTAGAGACGCCACCGTTTTTTGGGGATCCGGGCTTCTGGGGGTTCGCTGTACTTAATGACCACACCCCGGAAGGTATTGGTGTCCTCAAGAAGTGTCCCAGAAAGTTCAAGGCTTCGTTTTTCTTTAACAGGCACCTCTTTGCTTCTGTTAGCAGCAGGGCGAGGGATCACCTCCTGAGCCTCACCGCCAGCACCTTCCTTCTGCTGACCATGCTCCTGGCGGTGCATGGCATTCTGAAAGGCCCTCTCTTCTTCCTGGGCCTGCAGCTTCTGGCTGTCTCCATCGCGACCCTGCCCAGGCCTCTCATCCCAGCTCCTCCTTTGGCGGGAACGACCCTGGTGCTGGTCTCGCTCTCTGCTCCCAGCTCTCCTCTGCAACCGTTCTGATGGCTGCTGGTGCTGCCGATGCTCTGGACCTCCCCGTGGATGGTCCTCACGCTCCTGCTTCTCTCTGACCGCGGAGTAGTGGGAACTCCGGCTTCTCTTGGTCTGGGAAGACTGGCTTCTTCTCCCGGAGGACTGGTTTTTCCTTTTGCCTGGGGACCCGCGCGAGCTAGCGGAAGCTGGGGCGTCGGGCAGGCGGTGCGCGACAGGTTCGGGGCTCAGAGGCTCCTGCTTCACCTCCAGGGTCGCCAGCCAGTCATCTGTCCGGTGTGGCAACCGCCGCCTGCTTGGCTCCTGCTCAGCCTTCATCCTGAGAGCCATTTGCATGTCCGTTCAGCCACTGGGGCCCTTTGTTGTTGTTTTCTAGACAGGGTTTCTCTAGCTTTGGGGCTAGGGGATGGCTGTAGAGGAAATTCTAAACGGTCTTATTAAATAAGATACTCCGAGCCAAATACAGAGTTAAAAGATCAGAGCACTAGCGAATAGCCTTTAGCTTCCCGCTCACCGCCTCGCTGCCCTTGCTTCTACAGAGAGACCTTCTTCCTGTGTCCTGTCTTTTTATTGCCTTTCTGTTCTGCCTTCTCATTGGCTCTAAACTCAACCACATGACCTCCTTGTCACTGCCTGTCTATACAGACCTCCAAATCTCTATGGTTGATACTGGGATTAAAGGATTAAAGGATTAAAGGTGTGTCACCATGCTTGGCTGTGTCCTTGAAAACACAAGAGACGCTGCCTGCCATGTGATTAGATTAAGGGAGTGTGCTACCACTGCCGGACTTCTGCTAAATGACTATGACCTCTGATCTCCAGGCAACTTTATTAACATACAAATGAAATCACATTTCAGTGCAATAAAATATCACCATATTTCCCCTTTCTATTCTCAGTTCAGCTGAGTTCCATTTGGATGAGGACTCAGAGGCTTCCAGTTGAGGAAAGAGGATCGGCTGAGAAGTTGGTGAGGTGAGATTAGCTGTGGCCTGTTCTGCTTCTCTGACCTTTCAGGGTTCACCCCAATACCTGGCTCCCGGTTTGTTTTTATTAATAAGACCTTTTAAGGTTTGTGTTACATCCTACATTGGGGAAGGGGTTTTGCTTTTGTTTCTGCAGGAAAAGAAAATCTGTGGATACCAACAAAAGTAATAAAAATTCACTTTGAACAGGAGAAACACCTTGATGAGAAGTAATAGCTCATCCACCCATGTGATAACTCTACAAGTTGTAAGAAAAACTCAACAAACCAGGGTCAGGGCAGGGTTCTGGTTTTTGTCTTTACATGATAATAGAAATTCCCATCTTCAAGAAATCATAAGGCATAAAAGAAGGACCTATTGGCACTAATATACTCTACAGGGTAATATCTCACTGCTTAACATCAATATCTCTTTAACTCTAGAATAGTTGTGGTCCCAATTATAAATCAAGCTGGAATGTGACTCTCTCCTTCTCTAACCCCAAGCATGTTGCTAAAAGAAAAAATTAGGAGATTGTGTCTCATATCAGAAAAGCCAACTGGTGTGAGACAGAAGAAAACCAATAATCTAGGGACCATTGTTGTCAAGATTCTATTTTTCTCCATGCTTATTCTTGATTTCTGGGAATCCTTCTTCACATGTCATGTAATCTTTATATCCAAACTTTCCATTTTGATATTAATAATGTTCAAGTTTTCCACAGTGAAAAAAAAAATCTTTCCAATAGCAATCCCTGAAGTCTCCAGAAGGAAGATGGGGCCTCACAAAAATGACTCTACCCAGTCCATAATGATGTCATTGAACCAAAAAACAGTACTCAATGATCAGCTTTGAAATGGGAACTCTTCAGGACAGTTCCAAGATGAGATGGTCCATCATAGTACACTTTTAGCCAGAATCTTAGACAATCTTACCCATCACTCTAAGACTGGCTGCAGACTCTACAGCTAGCCCTATTGAGACCTAACTATCTAAGCTTTCTTACAGGACCCCACAGAGATACACTTGCCCCCTAAACTGCAGGAAGCAATTCTAAGAAAACGATGCCCCTTCCCAAAAGTTTCATTTTTCTCAGAGTTGTGGATGGATGGTTATAGGGTTGGGCGTGGAACAATAAAATTTACACTCAGTGTTCTCAGTATACTCAGGTATAGTATATTAAGGTAGATCATTGTATCTGCTAGTAAACTGATTTAGCTAACTATCAGCCTTGGATAATTTGCACTGATATGGATTCTTGTATGTTTGATACAAATGTAAACTACTCTTATATTCCTATTTAAGATAATCTGTATATTGTTACAAATACAAAACTATAATTGTTGTATTGTACATGTATTCCTATTTGTTTGAAATATTTTGTAGCCGGGTGACTGATGGTGGCACACGCCTTCGATCCCAGCACATGGGAGGCAGACCCAGGCAGATATCTGAGTTCAAGGCCAGCCTGGTCTACAGAGCGAGTTCCAGGACAGGCACCAAAACTACACAGAGAAACCCTGTCTCCGGAAAAAAATTATTAATATTTTGTATATTGATACAAATGTGAAATTATATTTGTTACACTATATGTATGTTCTACCTCTGTTTAGGATATTTTGTGTATTGATACACATTAAAGATATTGTTGTCATACTGCATATTGCACTATACATTTCTACCTCTGTTTAAGATATTTTGTGTATTGTCACAATTTTTAGGTCATTGTCCTTATACTGTACATCTGTTTACAGACAGTTTACCTTGATATGTAAAGTCTTAGTCCTTAGGTTATTTAGGTAGATAAGACTCATAGATTAATAGTCACCCATGAGTGTCACTTCCATAGTTATGTTAGTTAGGTTCTCCAGATTTACAGAAACATGTCAGATAAATAGGTAATCTTCAAACACTTCATAGACCTAGAGAACATGGAATTGAAATGTTTTGATAACTTAGAATTCTGTTGACATGAGACACGATTGCTCCTGGCAGCACTGATCTGATCCAGAGAGAATGTTGGACTTCTCAAACATTTCCATTTGAAAGTTTGTCTTCTTGGCACAAAGTGGCCTGCTGGACAGAGAACTGCCCTTGCCATAACTGCTGACAGTATGAACACTGTCCTTTCCAGACAAGCAGGACACAAGGAAAAGCAACTACTGAACTTGTCAAGACAGGGTAAGATAGTCTTTCAAAATTCTTGCTTCTCAAAATGGTCTGTCAGATATTCAAGGCCTTTAGCCAAACTGGATGCCCCAACAATGCGGAGAAACTTTAGGTGACTTTCTAGGCTACCAGCTGCCTCTGTCCATTCTCACAAGAATTTTGGAAATTGCTTGCTTGCATTTTCTGTTTTCTCAGGTATTATTATGTTCCTTCTCAGGTCTTTGATGGAGTTGAAGACTAGATAGTTACAGTTACAATCTTCTGGTATCTTAGCTAGAACATATTAAGTACTAGAATTAGAATCTTCAGGATAGAACAGCTATTGGTGTAATCTTGGTAATTTGCCATTTACTGATGCTCTGGGCTTTTCTGGACATTCAGCATGTCTTTCTTGTTTGATGTTGTTTTTGTTGGCTGTAGTTCCATTTTTGTTTATGTTATTACCCTTTGTTTTTCCTGAACAATACTTGATAATCATTTTTATTGTATATAGTTTGCATTAAGTGTCAAACCGTCTTCTTTAGACAAAAAGGGGAAATGTAGTGGTATTTGCTCCGCCCATGACCTTGGGCTATAGGGCCCGAAGGAGGTGTTGCTTCTTGCCTGTTGTCTGTGACCTCTTAAAAGTAAAGGGAGAGGGGTCATGAACCCCGTACCCTGCTGCCTGCTGCGGTCAAACTGCCAGGCGGATTCCCTCCCAGTCAGATCAGAAGATGACTTCTACTGTCTGCTCCGTTCTGTATTCGTGAGTGTATTCCCTCAATTTTCCCCAACGAATTTCCCTAATACTCCTTAACCAGAATCCTATGGATTCATCGCGTTAGAATAGTTTATTTTGGTTTGCAGTGTTGGAAGCTACACTCTGTAGCTTGAGTTTTCCTGCCTGGCCCACAGTCAGGACAAATCTCTCTCTCCTGCCAGTCCCACAGCCACTCAAACCCGACCAAGTAATCACAGAGACTTATATTGGTTACAAACTGTATGGCCGTGGCAGGCTTCTTGCTAACTGTTCTTACAGCTTAAATTAATCCATTTCTATTAATCTATACCTTGCCACGTGGCTTGTGGCTTACCGGTACTTTACATCTTCCTTGTCCTGATGGCGGCTGGCAGTGTCTCCCTCACTCAGCCTTCCACTTCCCAGCTTTATTCTCCTCCTTGTCCCGCCTACACTTCCTGCCTGGCCACGGGCCAATCAGTGATTTATTTATTGACCAATCAGCAACACATTTGACATACAGACCATCCCACAGCAACACTCCCTGGTTAGTTTGTTCCCATTGCTTTTGTGCCAGAGTGGAGACAAATCACGTTACAGGAACATCCCACCAGTCCTTACTGAGGACACACCCACAATAGACTAATCTCTCGATAGGCTCAACTTTTTTTTTTTTTAAGATGGGCTTTCTCTGTGTAGCCCTGGCTGTCCTGGAACTCACTCTGTAGACCAGGCTGGCCTCAAACTCAGAGATCCACCTGCCCCTGCCCTCTGCCTCCCAAGTGCTGAGATTAAAGGGCCACAGCCCAGCTAACTAGGCTCAACTCCTTTAAAGGTTCCACACCTCCTTATGCTGTGGATCAGAAGACCAAGCTTTTGATGCATAGAGGCCCTTGGAAGACACCCCTACCAAACTATACCAATAGCTGAAGAAGCCTGGATTTGCTCAAATTACTCTACGTGCCTGTCTCCAGCTTCTGCAGGAAAGTAAGGATGTCATCACTGCAAAGGCTCCCTCTCTGTAAGGACTCCGGAGTAGCCACGCCAGGCCCCTTGCCTACTCTGTGTGAGGTGTGGAGCCAGATGCAGTTTCTCTTTCAAATCAGAATGCTTTGGTGAATCAGACAGCCCAAACTAGAATCTTGGCCAAAGAGTTTTGTAATTTGATGGCTATGTAGGTATATTCTTGCAAAATATCATCTCACCAGCCTAGCTGGAAGCAGGTGTGAAGCATCAGTGTGACAGATATTAATGATCAGTGTTGAAAGGGTGGTGTAAGCTACAGCCACAGCCACACCTTACAGGCCCATGGTTGCCACACAATACTATTAATCAAATGTTTATGCCCCGGCCTGGATTGGTGTGGGAACTTCAGGAATGCAGTGTGTGTTTATTCTTAGTCTGCTGAAAACAAGTGTCACAATATATCCCACTCTCTTGGCTGAGTCAAGGCCTTTAAAATTTTCTTAGGGACTGGAGAACAGCTCATTGTTAAGAGTTTACTACTCTTGCAGAAGACTAGGGTTCAATTCCCAGCACCCACATGGTAGCTTGTTGGGGAACATTATTTAAAAGTGTGTTACTTTTGTTTATGTTGCATTTGTTTAACCCTGTGAAGCTGTGTTACTGTGCCTGCCTACAACACCTACCTAATCGTCTAATAAAGAGCTGAACGGTCAATATCAGGCAGGAGAAAGGATAGGCAGGGTTGGCAGGGAGAGAGAATAGATAGAAAAATCAGGGAAGTAGGAGGAAGAAACGAGAGAGGGAGGGAGAGGACCCTAGGGGACAGCCACCCAACTACCCAACCACCCAGCCACCCAACTACCCAGCCACCCAGCCACCCAACTACCCAACCACATAGCCACCCAGCCACCCAACTACCCAGCCACCCAACCACCCAGCCAGACACGGAATAAGAAGGAAAGAAAAGTTATACAAGAATAGAGAAAGGGAAAAGACAGATGGGTTAATTTAAGTTAAGGAAAGCCTGGGGGTTGGGGACTTAGCTCATTGGTAGAGTGCTTGCCTAGCAACCACATGGTCCTGGGTTCGGTCCTCAGCTCCCCCTCCCCCCAAAAAAAGAATAAGCCTGAATATGTGATTTATTTGGGAGCTGGGTGGCAGGCCCCCCATAAGAGCAAAAATAACCAACAACAGTAGCTTACCACCAAGTCTCCTATAGCTAGAAGATTTAGAAGCAAACATGGGCCCTTTTTTCTTTTAACACAGCACTATATATTTCTACAAGGTAAAAATTACATACAAACTATAAAAATACCAATACTTTCTTAGTATCTTGAATATCAACTTGGAGCTCTTTTTTTGTTTTTTGTGTTGTTTTGTTTTTTCCAGACAGGGTTTCTCTGTGTGGCCCTGGCTGTCCTGGAACTCGCTCTGTAGAGCAAGCTGGCTGGCTTGGAACTTGCTTATTATGTAGACTAGGCTGGCTTTGAACTCTCAAAGATTTCCCTGCCTCTGCCTCCCAAATGCTGAGATTAAAGATATGTGCCATCATGCCTGGCCCAAAAGTAAAACCTTTAAAATTAAAAATTTAAATCAGTAATTAATCGATCTCCTCCATAGAGTATATTAGTTTATTATCTTTCTTGTCAAGATTTACTTATTTTTATGTGTAGGCGTGTTTAGCCTGCATGTCTGTACCATGTGCATGAAGTACCCTTAGAGGCCAGAAGAGGGTATCGTGGACTGGATTGCAGACAGCTGTGAGCTGCTGTGTGGGAACTGGGAAGAACCCAGGTTTTCTGGGAAAGCAGCCAGTGCTCTTCAGTGTTGAGCAATTTCTCCAGCCTCAGTTTAGTGTCTCTTTTTTTTTTTCTTTTTTTTTTTTGGTTTTCTGAGACAGGGTTTCTCTGTAGTTTTGCGCCTTTCCTGGAACTCACTTTGTAGACCAGGCTGGCCTCGAACTCACAGAGATCCGCCTGGCTCTGCCTCCCGAGTGCTGGGATTAAAGGCGTGCGCCACCACCGCCCGGCTAGTTTAGTGTCTCTTAAGAGGCCTTTTCCTTCATGTTTTTGCCTTTGCAATGCACTAGTTGAAGAAAGGTCATTTGAAATGTATAGTGTTTTTTTGTTTTTTGGGTTTTTTTTTGCATTTTAATCCTTTGGGTATGATCATTTTGATACCGGAAATTTGGGGGAATCCCTTCATGGTTGACATATTACTCGGGAAGTTAGGGTCCCCTTTTGTAGGATTTAAGAACAGACAGAACAAAGTTCAAAGATAATTTTATTGGAATTTCAAAGAGGCCGGGCAGTGGTGGCACACGCCTTTAATCCCAGCACTAGGGAGACAGAGCCAGGTGGATCTCTATGAGTTCGAGGTCAGCCTGGGCTATAGAACTAGATCCAGGACAGGCACCAAAACTACACAGAGAAACCCTGTCTCAAAACAAAACAAAATAAAATTTAGAAGAAAACCTCCAGGCAGGCAAGAAGAGAGAAAACCATGCCTTTTGAATTAAGTTGGCATGTTTCACAGTGGAACTCAGAAGTCCAGACTAGCAGTCTCATGGCAAAGCTGAGAGGTGCCTCCAGAGAAAGAGTAAGGAAGTTCAAAATGTAAGGACCAGAAGAAAGAAAAAGAAGAAAAAGTTATGCCAAGCAAACAGCCTCATGGGGGCTCTGTAGCGCCTGCACCAGATTTTCTTAGTCTAAGGTTTTTTTTAAATGTTTTTGGCTACTTCCATCTCCTGTCTATCATCTGCTGATCCTTGCAGTGGGAGTTGGTTGGCTTCTAAGTACACCATGTGGGGTTCTTCCAGTACTGTTAGAAATACGGTCTGGTGTCAAAGAATGTGATTAACACTCTGATTGAAATGTCTTTTTTCCTTTTTTAAAAAAGATTTATTTACTATGTATACAGTGTTCTGCCTGCATGTATGCCTGTAGACCAGAAGAGGGCGCCAGATCTCATGACAGGTGGTTGTGAGCCACAGGGTAGTTGCTGGGAATTGGGATTTGGGACCTCTGGAAGAGCAGCAAGTGCTCTTAATCACTGAGCCATCTCCCCAACCCTGATTGAAGTGTCTTAATGAGGCAAAACTTAGATCAAGTGGGTGGGCTCCAAATAAAATAGGTGATGACTGTGCCCTTTTCACATTGGCTCGGGGCTGATCTCTCAGTCTTTAGAGATCGGTGCAAAGGAACCAAAGGAGGGGGAGGGTCACTGCTTCAGGCTCTCAAGTTCCAGGAACATAAGAAGCCTTTATGTAAACAGAGTTTTTACCTGGTGGTGGGGGGATTTAAAACTTTTGCATAAAAGGTTTTACAAGGTGAGAGAGATAAAAAGATTTGAATTCTTTGTTGTAAACACAGGTTTTATAGTATTTGATAGAAAAAACTCATGTTTGGTATTTCTTACCCCACCATGAAGGTCCAGTTTGGGAAGGTTTCCTCGAAGCTGCAGACTGAGAACTGGCCTGTCTGAAGAGTGCTCAACATTGGTCTCTGCCCACTGGAGTGTCTTCAACAAATCCCTCAGACCCCCCAAATCTGCACTGTTTGTGGTTGAATCTTTCAGGGGTGTGCCAGAATTTTTAAGAACTAGTGAACATTAAATAAAACTACATTTGAAGCCTGTTACCAAAACTCTTCTATAACACATATCATAATTGTGCATATTTAACACATCAAAGTGGCCTTGACTGCCACGTTCTCCCTGTATCCCTCAGTCCCTACCTGTTACAGAGCCCTCCTGGCTTGACTAACTCACCCCCTACCCTGAACTCTCCAGCTCCGGGGGCGCTGGACTGCTCATCCCTAGATCATCAAATCATGTTGGTTACCGCTCTCTTTGTGCCTTTGGGCCTCCTGACTGTGGCACCTGGTTCCCCTCTCCCCTCTCTCTTCCCCTCCAGCGTGCTCCACATGGCACAGCTCAACCTGGTCATGTCCACTCTGGACTCGCTCAGATGTCCCTGCCAATGGCTATGGTCTCCCACATATCTATACTAAACTTTCTCCTCCGACATACTTAGGAGCAATCATGTCTTTTTTTTCCCCCCTGTTTTATTCACAGGTGCCAAAACCCTGGACCATTCACGCCCTTTCCTTTTTTATTTCTTTTTGTCTCATTCAACAAGCTGCCCTACTGTTAAGCCTCAGGCCACTGATTAGGCTCATACTATTACCTTCTAGGCATCTTAGTCTGCAGGTATTGATTGGGTTTATTTTCTCTGCCAAGTTAAAGAATTAACAGGCAGGAAACATCTCCAATGAATCAGGTATCAGTAGCAACAGGGAAATTCTTTGTTGTTTTGTTTTTTCAAGACAGGGTTTCTCTGTGTAGCTCTTGCTGTCCTGGATCTCACTCTGTAGACCAGGCTGGCCTCGAACTCAAAGATCCACCTGCCTGTGCCTCCCAAGTGCTGGGATTAAAGGCTGCTACAGGGAAATTCTTAAACATAGCAAACAGAATCATCCAGTAAAAGGTTTTTATTAAGGGAGTGAGCAAACACATTGGGGGTACAGAGAAAAGACGCTCTGCAAAACTGAGCTGAGATTCAGGAAACCAAAGTGGTGAGGGCTGGGCCTTTTAAAGTTTCTGAAATGAAGCATTAATCTAGTTAATCTTCATCAATAAAAAATTGGGAGTCAGATATCAGGGTAAGAACCTAAAGATCAGAGAAGCAGGGAAGAGCCACCAGCTGCTTCCTATCTCTACTGTTCCTCGGTCCCAAAGGGCTGAGATCCTCAGCCTTACCTTACTACTTCCTGTCTCCTCTCTGTCTACAGTCCTCCAACACTCTATGGTTAATTTTAGTCAGCTAGTGGCTGGCTCCGCCCTCTGACTCCAAGCAAGCTTTATTTGTCACACAACATTGAAGGTTCTTCCTCCTCCACTTTAGGTCAGCTTGAAGAAAGACTGGACGGCTGACTGGCCCACAACTGCTGTGCAAACATGTTCTGATCTGGCCTTGAACTTATTGAACCAGACCATCAGGAGGGACCTTACTGGCAGGAGAAAAAGCCCACAAGGCCTTTGTTTTAAGCTGCCAGGCTTTTGTCTCAGATCAGGTGAAGAAGCAGCCAGCCATCTTGGAAGTTCACCCCTTTATTGCCTAGCCATGGCCCCTCTCCCTATCTGTCTGCCTGTCAGGGTGTCTGATTCCTAGGCCCTCGATACTAGTAAAAAATGGTCTTGGGGGCTGGAGAGATGGCTCAGAGGTTAAGAGCACTGGCTGCTCTTCCAGAGGTCCTGAGTTCAATTCCCAGCAACCACATGGTGGCTCACAACCATCTATAATAAGATCTGGTGCCCTCTTCTGGCCTGCAGTCATACGTGCAGACAGAACACTGTGTACATAATAAATCTTTTAAAAAATGGTCTATATTTCTCCTTAATACATTCCCTACAAATTCATTCCTCTCTCTCTCTCTCTCTCTCTCTCTCTCTCTCTCTCTCTCTCTCTCTCTCTCTCTCTCTTCTTTCATGATGCTAGGAAACAAACACAAGCCTTACTCATGCTAGGTAGTCACCCCACTGATGAGCTGTTATCCACAGTCCTACAGTTTTTCCTACAAAGGCATCTCTCCAGACCCAACAGGAGGCTGGATTTTGTCCTGATCAACAAAGGGTAAAAGAAAGGAAAACAAATCAAATAAGGCATCCCTCAGGAGAAGAGGGAGGAAGAATCAGTTAAGAGATGCCCTATATCTTCATATTCACAGGGGTCGAGGACACGAGGAGAACACGGCCCACAGAATCAGCTAAGCAGGGTTCTG